CCCCCCTCTTTTTTCTTTATTTTTTGTTGAATTTTGGGTGACCATCCAAGTTGATCCAACGAGACCTCTTTTTGTATTTTCATGGATGTAATATGTGAGAGCCTCGGATCAATTTTTGAAAATTTGTCTTATGCAAATTCGGGAATTACATGGGAATTAAGCACACTAGGAATTGGGGACGGCAGTTAGGAATTTCGAAATAAGTGGAATCTGACGTGTCCTTTCTTGCGCTTGAATGTTGTCCACCTCGTCTTCGAAGCTCTGGGAACTTTCATAGGAATCTGAATAGGCATAGGGTTTTTTTTTCCAGCGCCTGCTCTCCCGCACGGATATGGTACTTTTCAATTTGAAATAGTTGTAACTGTTTTGGTGTCGTTTTTGCCTCCGTGCCGGCGCCATGCATGCGAGCCTCCCCTCCCCGCTTCCCACATTGCCTTCAACACTCTCCTCTTCCCACTCACGCTCCTCTCTCTGTAACCGTTTTCCATCTCTCTACCTTGCGTGCCTTTTCTCTTCTTCCTGATCATCTAAATCTTGGTCCCGTTTCACGCTACTCTTCGCTCTCTTTTTCTTCCCGCTCTTATCTCCGCACCGAAATACCTTGTCGATCCCCTTTTCATTTCCCTTAGTCAAGGAGGCGCTCCATGTAAGAAGGAAATTCCTGATACCTGACGATTCTGATTGGCTGCAGCTAGGATCTGAAGGATCGACATGACTTTCGTCGGGCAATCCCTGAGCCCTCCCCTACTCCTCCCTGTCTAAGTCCTAACCCTTCCTAGCATCCATCTTCTTTTCCGCAGCTATAAATTCCGCAGGCGCTCCCGAAAATCTCTCTCTCGACTCATCTGCCCGCTTCCAGGAAGCAGTGGCTAGATGGTATGAATAAAGGTGCGAGTCGAAAAGTCCCGACGAGCTGGCTGTAGTGTGCACGCTTGGTATGATGGATCGCCCGACGGACTGTGGGATCCGAGTAGGGTCGTGCATCACTATGGTGGATTTGGCACGTGACGGCCCGAATCGTCAGTGCAAGTTCTTCTGCGAGGGAGTCCGACAGCAATGTAGGCAGCGGGGCGGGAGGCGGGAAGCGGAAGAACGCGCATCAGCAGGCATTCGAGTCCATCTCTGTTGTCATGGAATGCCATGGCGCACTGATGTCGTGGACGATCGAATCGTCTAGCAAGCGACAATGTAGCATCTTCACGAGGCAATGCGACATATTGGAGCAGGAAGTTGCCGTCCAAAAAGCGCACTATGCGGCGTCCGATGAGACGTAGAGGATGATGTGCCACGCACTGTTGGAGATCGCTGCCGCCATCCATGGTCGGTCGGCCATGTAGGACATTAGGTGCTGCGTTGATAAAAGTTGGTTCTTTCCCGTCGTGATAGACTTATTTTAATTTTTTCGGTTGTGAATTTCATGATGTTGCCATCGCCTGTAGTCGTGGACGGCTGCCGCGGAAGCGATGCGAAGTAGTCAACGGAGAATTTTGGGCGGCGAGAGGGTGAGGTTCCGTGTGAACTTGGCGGGAGATGGAGGTTGGGACCTGTGGACATGAAGAGAGGGGGGAGGTGTGTTTGTGTGTGTGTGTGTGTGTGTGTGTGTGTGTGTGTGTGTGTGTGTGTGTGTGTGTGTGTGTGTGTGT